ACTAAGGATAGCATCGACCTTAAAAAAATAGGTAGTTTATTTACTTTAGACTTTTCTGAAAGATAAAACTTTTTATTACTTCCATTTTAGTTAATAATTAAATAAATTACAGTTTTGAAGTCGAATTATTTTTTCAAAATAACTTTTTGATATCTTCACTTTTTAATTTCAGTCGTAATTGAAACTAATTACTTAATCGTTTTTTTCTGTCGAGAAAGTGCCTTTACTCAATTATTTATTTGTCTTTTACGTGTAGTTTTAACCTCATTAATTTATTTGGTACGAGTATCTACTTTGGTAGTTATTTTATCGGTTTTTTCAATTTTTCATTTACTCAATTATTTCTTGTTTTACGGATACTTTGAGATAAAATTGTAGGTTAGTCTAGGTACCGAATTTATTAATTAGGTACTAGTAGTTACTTTATCGGTAACTTAATCGTCTTTATTTATTATGTGTATTTATGTATAAAGCTAGGGTAGTTTTACTCAATTAGTTACAGTGGTAAGATCATTATCAAAAGGAATGTGGCAATCACGTAATAATACGACAGCTCCAGTGTTATCAAATCATAATTTACAATAAAAGTATAAGTACGTATCCCTCCACCATTAATTACTACGACACTAAAGTTAGATACATTCAGATATTTTTATGTTGCCGAGCATCTAACGATTATATGATTATTATTTAAATTGCAGGGCCATTTTTTTTTTTAATTTTGACCGAGACTGTTTAGCTAAATCCTAACTTCTAACGTCACGTTTTCTTAGTGACTGACGCACATTTAACTCTCTATCTTAATAACTACTTAACTGATTTTGATAAAATTTTATACAGTTTCCTAGAATAGAACATAACTAGTCCATCTAGAAAAGAATTTTTCCAATCTAACTTATAATTTTAGAGATATGCAGGAACAAACATACGAACATACTTATAAAATTAGGTATAGATATTTGGACGCTAATATAGGTTATGGTTAGGTTACATATACAAAAACTGTGCAATTCTGACAATATTACATACGTATAGGTCGAGTAGATATCCTTTTTTTTTTTGAAGTCAGTTAAAAATTCATTATAAAATTAAAAATTAAGAAGAGCCGCCGTACAAGAAATGTACTTTTTTTTGCCGATTTTTTTAAATTTTAATTTCTGTACTTGCTTTTCATTACCTATTTTTAAAAAGCATATACTCTTCAATATTGTACGGTAGTACAGAACCCTGCACTTTATATATATTTTTAATAAGACCCAGATATTTGTATATTTTTTTGAAGATCTCTTTAATAATGGAGCATTCGATGAATACCACAAAATACATATCACAATTATTAACTTCGTGAAAAATAAAAAGAGGTTTAAAAGTCCAAAAAAATCGGTATTCCTAAACAAAAAAAATGTCAAAAACCACGAGTACTGACAAATTCAAATTATAAATAAGAATCCATTAGCCGATTATTTACAGATTAGAATAGCTTTTTTATAATAAAAAAAAAATCACCTTTAAAATACACGTGTCAGAGTCAAAAAGTCGGAAGGCGTAGTTCTTAGAAGCGCTTATAAAACGCACGGAATTTCAAATAACATTTACATTTTTTCTCCTGGGGCATCCCGGTATCAGTCGGATGCACAGCCTTGAGATGCAAAGTGTGAGGCAAAGGAGAGCTTTTTATATTTGCGGCTTCCATGCTTGGATTTGCATAATATTGCTTCCTTAAGATTCCGAGTGTGATACTATGTTACACACACTCTAACCTTTAAGACGTTTTAAAAGAGGCTTTAGTGGGCGAGTCTGCAGCACTTAGGGTTTTATGTTGTATATAAGGCGCGTTTCTTTGGGAAATTACATTATCCACCTGCGTCGGACCTACATTCACTATCGTCTTTGGTGAGCAAGTATTGATTGTGATGTCAAGCAGTGTGAATTTTGCCAGCAAAATAACAAACTAACCATACAATTTTTGTTTTTAAGTTTATCCTACAATACAATACAGGGTACTAAATAGTATTAGCTCGTACTATATTGATCGATTGTTGGAACTGATCAAAAATATTATAAATACAAGGAAATTAAACCGAACAACTTTAACACAAATTCGAGGCATGAAAAAAGTTAATCTCAGTTGCGAGTCGCAAATAGAAGTGTAACGAGATTCCCGGAGCTAAAATATTGTTAAGTACTTAATTCCCGTAATAAACCGTTAGCTAAAAGGAAGATGATGAAGTGAAAAATTATACACAGTACTGCGTACGCTGATGTATTTACAAAAATTTAAACACTTCTACCACAGTTATAATATGGCTGGATCTCATGTTATTAACGAAATTACGGGTTCGGAACGTATAAAACTTGACAGTATATCATGCAGCTGTTTCTAGAATGAAGATTAGAGACATCGGATAGGGTCCGCCACTTGGTAACTACGATTTCCTAGGCCTCCGTCATAATTGTATTTAAGAAGGGAGCTAAGACGTTGGTTTGATGTTTAAATCCCACGTTCTGAGACTAGACGATAAATGAGAATCATCTGCAGAACATCCAAAATTAAAGAATTCGTAAGAGGCTGAGTGGTGTTATTCAGAGAGGAACAACATCTGAAATTTGTATCTGGCTTCAGTAAAAGGCCTATAGTTTCTCTGAGAGCCCTTTGCCGACTGCAGGGTTTGTGCACATGCGAAGTTGCCGAGATTAATATGGCTTCATTAGAAATTTTTTTGAAATGAGAGACAATATTGCCAACTGTTTAGTGAAAAATACACTAATACAATATTTTAAACGAAAAAGAGAAAATACTGATTTGGATGTTGAAGGAAGGCTTACGTTTGTTATTTATTATCAAATGAGAGTAAGCGTGATATAAACTCTGGGATCGAATTGAATCGGAATAATCAGTATTACTTTAAAAAAAAAAGAGAAATTCAGATATAATCGTTTCTGCATCAAAAAGTCAAAGAAACATGTTATACCCATGTTCTGACAATGGAACATGGAAAAAAGCGACATGAAAAGACGGTCAACAGCACAGATATTTTTTAAACTATGAACCATATGTTATAACTTAATAAAGTTATATAATATTCGCTACACCACTTTCCTACAATAAAGGCCTATGTAAAAAGTAAGTTTGACTTTTCACATTAAAAAAAAATATTAGTTCTAAAAGAAGTTATTTAATATTTCTGATCTAAAAAGAAGTAATTATTAAATAACATGATTTTGGGTAAATGTTTATTTAATTTCAAATAGATCTATCTCAATTTAAGTATTTAAACTAGATTTATTCCTTACTGCCGTAGTTCGCGGGTACAGTTCTCACAGTCGAATTTGCACAATATTGCTTCCTTAAGATGCCAACGAACCAACAGGGAAAGACAAAAAAACGAGCATTTCCATTCAAACTAATGAAATTCTCAGAAACCTGTTCATGATATCTATGGTCTAGATGTGATTATTGATTTGATCAACAAAGCTATGAGAAAAGGCATAATTGATACTTTAATTATATTTCATTCTATAGAAACTGAAGTTTTATTTCAGAAGAAAGTAATAACATATATTTTAAAAAATACACAAGGTCTTTCACATCGCAAAGTGAAAAGTTTTAATGTTAGGTATGGTAGTCGTCTTCAATCTAAAAGAAACTTTCGCCATAAATTTTTACGTTTTTCATGCCCACCAAACAATAAGGGATATGAAAACGGTAAAATGTCTTTATGGCCTAAATTGTAAGATGAAAAAGTCGTGTATTAAACAGTATACCTATAAAAGATGTTAAATGCCTGAATTTCTTTAAATAGTCCGATTATAAGACAAAAAAAACATATTATAAATAACAGGAGAGGTATAAATTATTTTAAATGGTAGAATACCTTTAGGTTAAACGAAAAAGTTAAATATGAAAGAGAAGGTGTTACGGAAACTGTAAATATATTGAAATCTTTTACCTCGTATTTTACGAAAAAATTACAACCATTTACGACTTAGATCCGCATATAGTTGAGAAATATGTTTCAAATTGACTAAATTAAATACGATAAACATATGTTTAAATTGTCTAATAAAAGGACTGTTCAGTATTTTGGGATTACTGACTACTAGATCATGTTTGCACAGTCATACACTTCAATTTGATTTAGATACAATGATATTCCTAGAACTTACTAAGATCTTGATTTAGAGAGATCTGATCGGTGCTGTCGTGCTGTGGGCGGCCGTAACGTGCAGTAAACCGCTAGAGAAAGTTACATACAACCCTATATAAAAAAAAAAAAAAAAAAAAAACTATCATCTACAAATAGTACATTGCACTAATTGCAATATATATTAATAATTGAAACCACGATTTTGATGGAAGAGGAAATACATATAGGAGTTGCAACGAAAAAAAAATGATTTGGAAAACTATATCAACCTTGACAAAACGACGACTTGTAATAGTGACTCATATAGTGACGCTGGATTAAGGAGTTACAGAATCCGTTTATAAGTTACTCCGCTCATACAGCGTTAGTGTCTGTTCGTGTTGCATCAGTATAGTTGGCCATGGTTAACTACCTCCAGTACCTCGCCGCCCTAAACTTACTTACTCGGCTTTGTGGTAAACCAACCTTTGCCTTCATAGTTAGAACAGGAGTGGCCAAGTCGTTAGAGAATTTCTTTCTAATTTGAAGGTATCGAGTTTGAATCCTAACAAAGGCTGAAAAGAACAATAAATTTTTAACATTAGGCAACTTAAACCATTTTCCCTGTATCTCAGAGAGTAGGATGTCATTGATCCCTAAAGTTATACTTGTCACAAGAGTCGTTAAGAGCTTCCACCCGCACTGGATGAGCGTAGAGAGTAATACTCCCCCACAATCTTTTTGAACGAAATTCCTTATCGTACGTTACACTTAGACGCTTTGCGGATGGTAGCTAAATGAAAAAAACTGTAACCGCAACGAAAAATGCTGACCGCTATTGCTTTAGTTCACGTTTTTATAAATTGGTTTGCCAGCGTCTATACAAATCTGAATACACCGGTTTTCGTCCGATCACCGAAGTTAAACAGCGTCGTGCCCAGTCAGTACTTGTATGGGTGACCACCAGAGAACACCGCGTGATTTTGCTTTTTTTGGTGTTGCATTCTTTTTATAATAACTTATAATAAAATATTAATTATAAATCTTATTAAAATATTTTGTCACTATTTCTTCATTTTTTTGTTGCATGTTTCGTTTCATTACTTTCAAAGGTTGTTGATTTATTTCATTGAAATTCTTGGATTGTTTCAGTTCTGGAGCGTATTCAATTTTAAACTTTCAATAAATAAATACTTATACAAATATATAAAAGTAACATCTATTATTGATTTTATAATTACATAATTGTGCAATTTAACGAACTTAATACAATCTGTACTAAATAAAACAAATGGCGCTGTTTAGTGCTTTCTTTTAGAATTTTAATAATTAATAAAAAATTAATTTTATTTACAACTTACAACAAATATTAACATTTATTCCCTTATATTATTATTATTTATTTAATTACTTTCAATCGTTTTGATTAATTTGGTGTTATTATTAAATTCATAAAATATTGACATGTAGCAAAAGGAACTTCGTTCCAACCGGGTATTCCAAAGACATATCAGGAATTTTTTATTTGAGATTTAGGGACATAGCCTTAATCTTAAATAAAAATATTTTGAGAAAGTATTCATCTCCAGTGAGGTGATACCTTGTTATGTGATATGACGTGAATGATAAAACATTTTTTAATAAACAAGTCACAATAATACTAACTAGCCATTATTTATGGAGGTCGAGCCTTTTCGTGATGACTTTTATAGATTTGTACTTCCTTGTATTATTTAATAGTTACAGCTGATGAAACGTACGTGCATATCCATTCAAAATTTTCATAATGATACATCACTTATAGAGTGCTGACTGAATTTCCATCAAGGTTCTGGGATTTTCAATGTTTCCGATTGCAGCTTCTAATGCTACCTAAAGTAGCTTGCAATTTTCGTGATTTGTAGATTATAAATCTGGAATTCTCAATTCAAGAATCTGAATTGGTTTCAATTATTAATTCAAATCGTTTCCAGAAAATAAACGCAACACAGGAAGCTAGCTATTTAGCCCCCGATCTAATCTTGTTTTAAAGTTACATCCGCATTCAAATTGAAAAAAAAAAGATGTCACTTCCTTACACTCCTGAAACGAGCTGAGTACTCGATCTAGTGATATAATAACTGCGTGCGATGTCAAACTTTCGTGACACCGGCCGGCGCACGTGGGAGCGACGTCTCTGTTTCATAGGCCTTATTTATTCTCCGAAGCGGCCGGTGACCACTCCCGACCCGTCACCGCGCCGCCGTCGGACCAGTCCTCTCGGAGGAACGCGCCCCGTCGACACCCTCCGATATTACACTCCGGTTCGCACTTTTTTACCCGTGATACATTTTTCCGAACGACTCGCGCCAGGATCTATCTGAAATTAACTGTCACCAACTGTTTCGACCGATAGTGGCATGCATATCTGCGTATATTAAATATTATTTGTAGTAGTTTGATTTTTTGTGTCTATTAAATGTTAATAATGTGAATACGACTTATTTCTACATAATTTATGTCCTTTCTGCAGTTAAAAAATTCTGATTGATCTAGCTAATGCCATAGATGCTACCTAGCTACTTAATAGCTGACTTTAGTTAGTCGTAGAATAAAAAAAAAGCCGGACAACGGTGGCGTTTGCATGCAACCTCCAAACTTTCCGCATTGTTTTGATTAATATTGTTTTCGAATTCCTAAATCATGGAATACGAAAACATGATTGCTCACATTTTCTGTCCAGAGTTATCAGCGTTCTATTTTAAAATTACTGGGAGTATAAAAAATGAAGCAATGGTTGTTTTTCAAACACTTTGTCAAAGATGTTTTTTTTCGAATGAAGCAACCTGTTTGAATATGGCACTCGATGTAGTTTTATAAGCCCAAAAAGTATTTAGATTTTAAAAACCAATGGGGTCAACAAATGTAAAAGTCATGTTGAATTTTTATTTTAATCGTTTCTTCGTCCATTACATATCCTATTCCTGCCCAAGAAACTGACAACGAACTCCTCCGTAGTCGCGAGTGTCGATGGACGGCGGTTATCACCTATACTTGGGTGACTTGCATGCTCATTTGCTTCTCAATAATACTATAAACCAAAAAAATATATAAATATAGCCGTCGCGGGACGCATGGCAGATGTGAAACATCGAAACGATTCTATATAGATTATATGCACAAAATATATTAATAAACTATAAATTACAAATGGAAAATGTAAGGAATAAACATTTTTTTTTATGTAATTTATTTATTTATAGAAAATTGTATAAACACATATATCTCCTGCACAGCATACTTATAAGTGCAAAATATATATATATATATATATATGTTCGCCTGTGTAACGTTTTTTCGTTACCCTTTGCGACCACACATGAGCCACTCTGACTCACTATGCTGGCACCGCCTATGGATATTTCACATCAACATGACCAATGATATACAAACAGGTATAGAATTAATGAACAATGAAGTCTTATGACAGTTGTAAGTAAAACAATGTGATATACTAGATATAAACTATAATATTGTGCCAATATAGATTCAAAATAGTACCTATTGAGTATTCCGAGCCAAAATGGCAAAAACGTAACCCAAAGTTTCGTCATGTCTGTCCATCCGTACGTCTAAGGACTTTTATACAAAAATTACAAAATGTATTATATATTGATCAAATTTATAGTGTGGGTGTCTTATATAAGACGCTATTTAGTTTCGTAAATAAATAACAAAAATAAATATTTCTAGAAGGGGCACGTAACAGAAGCTGAAAAAATTTTTTTTCAGCAAACGTCAAGGAGTGGCACATATTTTAACAGTCCGTTGTCTAAGATGTAGACCACTCCTAAAATTGCAGAAATTATATCCCCCCTCTATTTTCTAAACCGTATGTTCAAAAAATATGAAAAAAAATAGCAAAGGTAACGGTTATAATTACATTTTTCGAAAATAATTTTGAACATGTTCGGATATACCGTTTTTGAGTCATTGCCGAAAAACTGCGCTTCTCAACAAGAGGACGTACGTGCCATGAAGATACGCTCTTTTGCAATTTAGTTTGCACTAGTTTAATAGTAATAGTCGACATACCTATTTGTTTTTCTAGTTATACACCTATAACACTTTACCACCTATAACACGTCACCACTAAAGTGCTTATAACTATTCTGTGCGGGAAACATGGAAAAAGTGTAACAACTTATTTTTTTCATCTGTAAGTACATTTCTTTGTAATAATGGTTTCGAAACTCAATAATCAACACGGTCCGACATGCTCTTGGCCAGTTTTTTTTTACTTATGCACAGTTTACAGATTGAGCATGACCTTCAATATTTGTTACGTGTATTAATGTATAAAGTTTGATAAAAGAATATCTGAAGCATCTCTTTGAGCAATCTCTTTGTGCTATGTGATGAAAGATATTCTATGTATTGTGAGATACAACTGAATAATGGTTTTCATGATGTAATGAAAAAAGGTAATGGAAGGTTGTTGAAATAATAGAAGATGAGGATGGGAATACGAAGAATCCACACTGGAATAACTTGAAGTTATCCCATGATCCTAAACAACACGTCTAAAACGTTAATATTTGATGCGCCTGCAAGTTTTTCGGTATTACGCCCGCCAACCGGGTGCGGCCCGGGATTAACTATGAATATTTAAACCACTTATTGATTATAGTTATCTTGGAGCAGAAGGTCAAATGTTAAATTCAAGGCCTAGAACTCGTTCTGGTCATCCCTAGCGAGTGAGAGGTATCGATTATTTGATTCCCAATTTAACAATGTATGGATGAACAGAAAAACGTATAGATGGGCGAACTAGTTGCAACTAATACGAACAGGATACTTAATTCACTGAAAACGTCTCAAAAAGTTATTGTTTTATCATATACAAATTTCGTTAACTTAGAAATATGTAGTAGCAAAAACATGAGCTGTTAAAAACTAGAAAATTGTGAGTTTCCGAATATTCTCTGCTGAACTCCTTTAAAACATGCAAAACTGATTTTTACTTGTAAGTATACTGGATGTTTAGCATCAGTGTATTGTTACGCTTTCTTTAAACATTTTTAAAGTTAACGCATTGACAATTAAGTTAATTTACGAAATTTTGTTACAAAATTGTTTATTAATAAAAGTAATAAATTGCGTTTTTCATGTTGCGTGTGTATTTTTTTAATGAGAATTCTGAAATATTTGAAATAAGAAACACTAAAATTTCTACTATTTCAAATTATCGATCAGATAGCATTTTTTTCGAAAAATCGATCTAAATTATGGGTCGATATTTACATAGGGCACTGTACGTCCAGGAGCAAATTTGATACACAGTTGCATCTACCGCAGGTCGGAGGGTCATTAAAATAGAAGGATTACTTTTATAGCCCGGTAGGTCCGTTCGAGATAATATCGGTAAATTTTATGAGTGTAATAAAGGGAATTCGATTTTAGCCAGTCATCTGTATGTGATTATGGAAAGATACGATGGGCTGGCCCCGGAACATAACGGCCGGCCGCTTCCGGCCACCGGCTTCGGCCGTTTACAGTGGCCCTGCAAATGATGCTTAATACAATATTAATGATCGAACTTATTTATGCACAATTATTTAAATAAGGGACGTTATATTTCGCCTAATGGTTCGGCTAACTTAGGAGTAGCGCCGATGCACGTAAAGCAGCATAGCGGCTGAGTGTAAATCGTTTTTAATCTATAAGATGTGCGCGTAACTAGAATTTTGGAAAATCTTAATATTTTTCTTATCTTGACATTAACATTGCAATCAATTACCTATTCTGAAAGTTAGTTTCAAAATCATTTTATGTTAAAAGTTATGTGCACAATGTATAAAGTGCACATTGTTTCTGTTGTTAAATTTAATAAATCAATAGAAATATATATGTGCTGTATAAAATCAGACATAGAAATTTAAATGTAATGCATACCAAAGTTTCTGTAACCAAATTATAATAATTAATTACAAATGTAGTT